TATGGTCAGCTCGCATGTGTTTCAATTACTAAAGCCGACAGTTACCATTCCTTTCAATCAAAATGGTAGGACTAAATGGGAACGAAATTTTCCATAGTACAATGCGACATTATTTTGGCTTAAACTAGCAGTCACTAAAATCCTTTTAACCAAGGTTAAAGCAGCCCAAATGACCAACGCTCATGGCTCTACATGCTCCTGAGTCCTGAATACCGCAAACTTGTATTTTAACTCAGTGTCACGAGTTCAAAGGAATAGGACAAACATTGGATGTTATTTTTGTTCTATGCGGATAGTCTGCAATCTTTTGAAGCAAATAAATATCCATTAAAGTGCTGGATAATGTTCCTTACAGAATATTCCGAAGTAAATATCTGCTGCGGAGAATGTTTGTAGATTAGGGGATAAGTTATATCTGCTATACTCACATTTCAGATAAGCTGGTTGGTGCATTTAAGTGTAAAGGTTTTGTCACATTTTTTGATATATTTTGGAAGCAGCTACTCGGGTGTCGATAATTTATGAATCTTTTTATCAAATGAAACACGCAGGTAAGGATCTAGGAATTATACGTCCAAGTTAGACAGTAATAAGAATTTAAATTACCCGTGAACGCAACCGAAGTGAAATTAGAAAAGATGAAGTCACTGTCTGCGCTCATGAAAGGTTAACCGAAATTCTTAAATTGTTTAATGACTACGCGAGATAGCTTAAACGAAAGTTTCATATTAGCCATCATGCAACACAATCCAAAATATTTCAAATAATGCAGGAAAGCAACTTTTCAATACTTTCCTTTTCTGCAGCCTAAAAAACTTATGCTTAGAGACAAAACGACTATCTAAGTACTATGCATTTGTATATTGCCTTGCTATGCCCTTATATATAAGGATATATTTTTGTGCGAACGCTTACAAATTACACTTCATTTACCCATTTTATAGACGATCACGCACTCTTTACATTGTATACTTGATGAAACGACAGAATTTTGATCTAAAAGTTAACCAATTATGGGAGTCTTTTTAATTTAATGTCAATTTGAATCGTTTCTGTCCATTTCTTAATACATGGATGGATATAAGCTATTCTTCACGCGGAAAGCACGAAGTCTGTAGTCGAAGAACCCTAATCGCAAATGCAGAGGTAGGTCAAACTCAATATTATTCGAGCGTTAGAAAACTCTTTCAAACCTAACCATACACTTGCTTTAAGGAGAAAAATTTAAGAAAAAGTAACTTGCCATCACACGAACAAAAAATGGAGTATTTCGCCTACGTTTTCCATAAAATTTATTTATATTAGTAAATGCATTTGAAATCACTAAAAGAAAATGCCTTCTATGTTAATAGCCAAATTAAGCTCAGAATTTGCGTGCGACCAAAGCTGAATTCCTGACGTGCCTGGAATAATTTGAGATAAGGATGGCAGTCGAAATACCACTTACTTAATCTTTTCTAATCAAAAACGTGTTTCAGGATTTTGGATAACGTTTCATGAGCTCCGCTGCTGACTGTATTCAGCTTCCATTTGGATAACTCAACACTGGAGGATGCAAAATTGTTGAATTCGACTACAGTTATCTGAAAAATAGTTATTTAACTCGTTTGGAATAGATACTGTGGTCTATCTTATTTGAGGGTGTACACCTCCGCAGAGTTTATTTGTTCGTTTTAGTTCTCCCTAAAAAGTTAACATATTGTATTGCGCGCAATCTAGAACTGCAAAAAATGTCAAATTCTGCATCGGCGCTTGCTAAACTTTTCGTATGGCAGTGTATTGTGCTTGACTTTTATATACCAGCATAAATTTCCGTGAACTACATTGCTTGTTACCCCATTTCAGTTGAGAATCTTTTGTCTGGCAATCTTCATAAAGTTGGATTAACCTTGAACATTTTGGTGTTTCTCGGAGGACTCTTTGTTCATAATGTGAAATGATACTACAGTTAGTTTCTCTTAAAAGCGAGCCCTTGTACTTTTTATAACATTTCGTTCAATTTAAATCTTCACTTGGATAATTCTTAGTTAGGCATCATCCGCTAAATTATGGACATTTTGCAGAGCGGATTGGTAGTTCACGGCAGCTGTTTAATTACAAGGGCCGCGGTGAGGTATGACCATCTACATGAGACTGCATGAATTATTTCTGTTAATTACCATTACGCGTGAGTAATCAGGCGAGTGTAGTCACATAATCTTTAAGGGAGATGTTTCAATACTAAACATATCTTATGCATTCATACAAGGATTGGTGATTTCTATATAAGGACTGCAAAGGCCTAAAATTACGAAAACGTCAATTCTCTATAATCCATTCGAACCAAAGGCTGAGCCGACAAATTGACAGAAAGATGGTAAAATCTAATATCTGTCAATTGTTATAAAGCGAATTTGGTAAAATGAGATCCTCGAATTTACTGGTTCACATAATTTTAAGAAACGCGATCTACAGGCGAACAAAGCATTTTTCATTATTTTTTATTCTAGAATATCAAAACGTGACAGTAACCTAAGGCGCCTATTCAGTGGGTTCTTAACTTTCTTAGCCTAAATGCCTAGGTGCTATTATACCCCATTAAAATATGAGTTTCAGCCGTTCACCGGAGGTACATCTCCGAGTTACACAGATGAATAGAGAACTCCCGGTAATTTCATAGAAAGATGAAAAATATAAACACACTTAAAGTCACATAACTGTCATGCAGGGTAACAAAGGTATCAGCTTACTTTCGTAATACTGCAATTTCATGGTCAGTGTCATCTTCTTCGGCAACGGGCCCAAAAACTTTCCGGCGTTCAAAATGGTGTTCAGTAAGTTTTTTGTTTGTAGCTTAACGTCTTCGGTCTTTGAAGAGGGCAGCAATTCACCAGACAGATCAACGAGACTAAAAGCAAGCATACTTTGGAAAAATCGACTACCTTGGCGAATCTGAAGAGATGTCCATTGAAGCACCTGAAGCATCATATCGAAATCCAAACGAGAAAGACTCTGTGATTTCCTAAAAAAAATATGGCAGAACAAATTGACTTACATGTGGTTTCTGGGGGTCTTCATACAAAGCCAACGTTGCCTTCTTTAACTAAAGAGAATTAGCAGAATATTGTGTTACGTATCGCTTTTCAATTGCATCAAAGCAGCCACGCAGCCAAAACACAACTTTGCAAGACCCGGGACATGATGCTTCTTCCTTCAAAATTTTAAGATCAAGACCTAGAAAGTAATTTGCTGAGCAGTATTCCAACCCTCCAAGTTCTTTTCGAAAAAGGCATTTTCTGGGAAGAGCCTTCTAACGTAGGCCACATTGCTAACGGCGACAGCAAGCAACTTTTTGACAAACACTATCGAGATAGTGTCTGTATTTATTTGAACCGGAAACGTTTTCTGCCACTAGAAGAAAATGAACTGTATGATTAAGTTTTACCTGGCCTTTTACAGGCCTTACGGAAACAGAGTTAGACATGTTCTTTCTCAAAATGCACCGCTACCTGTTATCGTGGGAAGAATTCCTAGAGCAGTTAAACAATTAGTATCAACGTGTAAAGAAAATGACTAGTTATTTCTTTCCATATTGATTAATTTGTGTAATTAACTATTGCTTTGAAGAATTTAAAAGATAACTGCATACTATGAATTGATCAGGAGGGAATATGAGCGCACGAAAGGCAGCGATGCTGTAATGGTTCTTATGCAGTTCAGGAGATCCTCTTTATGTGCCTCTTCAAAAGATAAAAACCAAATACTAGTTTCCGGTTAACCATTATCAAAGTAAGTACAGTCCGATAAATCGTGCCAATTAAAATGCATTGCTTTCGAATGTATGCATCAATTTTACTACCCAACAAAATTAGTCCCGCGCAAATTCAGTGTAGTTCAGTATATATTAGGTTAGTTGGGTTAGTTTTCAAACTATTTTTCCCAAAATGGGTATCTTCATGACTCCTTTCGTCGATGCATACGACAGAACATTTCAACTTAAATAATATCTTCAGAACTGCAACAAATAAAGTACCAAATTCAACGAACTGGCAAACGTTCCCATATGTAAAGAATGTATCTGAGGCGGCTACTTAAGTACAAGATACAGAGTGCGCACAAGCCAGTAACTATTTTGCGCACCCAGCTCGTACACCCAATAGGACAAAAATGCCCATTTAAACAGAAACGAAGTCGTCCATAAAATCCCGTGTATCTATTGTGATGTAGTCTACTGTGGTCATACAGGAAGAGCTCTATCCACCGGCATACATGAACACAGATCAGCGGTGAGGAGACGAGACCAGCTTTCGCAGGTTGTCATGCACACACTGGACACACATTTGCATGGGAGCAAACCCAAATCGTTGGAACCTGCCCAACTAAGAAGAGTCGCGAAGTGCTGTAGGCAATGCATTTGGATGAGGCATCCGTTAACAGGCATATGGATGTGGATGTGAATAACAAATCACTGAAGATCACGGGGACATGGATTGAGAATTTCCTCACTGGTCGTTCCCAAACTGTGTGTAGGACGAAAACAATCAAGGCCGAAAGTCATCGAGATCGTAGTCTTTCAAGGTTCAGTACTCAGGCGGACCCTCAGGGATTGGACTGAATGTTTGCAGATGATGTAAAAATATGGAAGGGTGCTGCCGATGAAGATTACTTCCAGGAAAATCTTTGTCGAGTAAACGATTGGTCGCACAGGTGGCCGCTGTCCTTCAATTCTAGTAAAGGCACTCCGCTGAGCCTGGGAAATCGAAATCCGGTCTCTGATGCGCGATCCTACTATCTGAACGGAATCCCACTCCAAGAAGCAGAAATACAGAAAGATCTCTGTGTCTGGATGACAGACAACCTCAAACCTTCTACACAATGTTGTAAGGTGGCTAAAACCGTAATTTCAATGCTGTACGACATCAAGCGGGCATTCATGGTTTTTGATGAAGACTGTTTCTCGAAAAATTGCGGTACCTTCATAAGGCCACATCTTAAATACGCGAATCAAGCCTGGAAACCGTGGATGCAGCAGGATCATAACGTACTTGAGAGGGTGCAGCGGCGAGCAACAAAAT